TTGGGCAATGCAAAGATAAAGTCCAAAAATCAGAGGAGACTGAGTAAAGAGACTCTGTCAGAGCTGACCCCCATATATTGCTAAACTGGAAATGCATCATTTTCTACTTGTTTTTTTTTTATTCTCACCCAAAGATATTTTTCCATTTTTTGTTCAGACAGAGTGGGAGGGAGGGAGGGGAGAGAGAGAGAGAAACATCAGTGTGAAAGAGACACATCGAGTGGTTGCCACCCACATGACCCAACCAGGGACGGGGACAAACTGCAACAGAGGTACATGCCCTTACTGGGAACCGAACCAGGGTCTCTCTGGATCGCAGACCGACGCTCTAACCGCTGAGCCAAACCAGCCAGGGCATTACTTGCTTTTTCATATATAAAATTTTCTCTATTGATTTTAGAGAGAGGGAGAGGAAACATCAATTGGCCACCTCCTGCATGCCCCCAATGAGGATTGGGCCCACAATCTGGGCAAGTACTCTGACTGGGAATCCAAACCAGGGACCTCTTGGTGCATGGGACAATGCTTAACTACTGAGGCACACCAGCTGGGCACTATTTGTTTTCTCAATAAAAAAATATTGCAAAGTAAGGTTTAAAAAAAAAAGTGGTAAATAATGTGTACAAAACAATTTAATTATTATTTTTTTATCATAAGCAATTTTATTTCACCAACTGGACAGTTTTCAGCTAAGTATCCTCAACCAGAAATCAAACCTATGACCCTTCATTACACAGTCTGAAGCTCTGTCCACTGAAAAATACCAGCCAGGGCAGTGTTTCCTATTTTTGAAGGACCTTACTGAATGGGCAATTCAGATTAACTCTTTAAAGACAGTTGTGAGCCCTGGTCGGTTTGGCTCAACAGTTAGAGCGTCGGCCTGCGGTCCAAAGAGACCTGGGTTCGGTCCCCGCTAAGGGAACATGGTTTGTCCCTGACCCTGGTTGGTCGTGCAGGTGGCAGCCACTCGATGTGCCCCTTTCACTTTGATGTTTCTCTCTCTCCCTCTCTCTTTCTTCCTCTCTCCCCCACTCTCTAAACAAAAAATGGAAAAATGTCCTTGGGTGAGGATAAAAATAAATAAATAGAGACAGTTGTGAAATGTAAACTGCAGAAAGTTTATGTCATTCTTTAAAGATTGTGGTGAAAAGCTCTGGGGAAACATCAGAGAAGGGTGAAAATATTTAAGTCCTTAATGAAATTTGGTAAGTTACATAAGTCTGAAAAGAGCTAGAATCCAGTTGAGCATGTGACTCTGCTGAAATTTTAATCACCCTGAGGCTATGGTACCCAAAACCTGATTCTTTTTCATTCATGAGCACACTGAGCAATATGAGCTTGGGGAAAAAGTTAAAGAGGACATTTAGCCAGAAGAATAACATAAAAGAGGAAATTTAAGATGTCATGTTTATTTACTGCTCTAACAAATATTCACTGATAACATTAAAAAAATTATATTTCCTATAACAAAAGTTACCAAATATTCACTGATAACATTAAAAAAATTATATTTCCTATAACAAAAGTTACAGCAGATACTTAACAAGCAATGCAAAAAAATAGGAGTTAAATATAATTTAACCAAATGACAGTATTTTTTTTAAATGTACAATTTATGTATGATCAAAGACACCAAGTAGTTAAATAAAAAGGTGACTGACTCCAGGAAAATTTTGTGAATCCTAGATTAACATGCCCTTGAAGAACCGTAGTCATTCATGGAAAAATAAAGTCCCACCTCCCTCAAAATTGTGGGTTTGATTCTCAGTCACGAGCACATATCTGAGTTGCAGGATTGATCCCTGGCCCTGGTCAGGGTACAACGTGGGAGGAAACCGATCAATGTATCTCTCTCACAATGATGTTTCTCTCTCTCCCTCCCTCCCTCCCTTCCACTCTGTCTGAGGATCAGTGAAAAAAATGTCCTGGGTTGAGGATTAACAAAATGATAATAATGTGACAATCATAGGAATAGGAATATCTTCACCCATTTTTTTCTGGCTAGGATTTAAGTAGTTAGGACACTTGAAATTATCATTGCTCAAAAGCTGAGAGAATGTGATAGCTTTAGGAATGCCAACAAAATTAATGGATCCAAAGCAGGTACTAAGTTCAAGACCTAACAAAACATGTTTATATCTGGTCACAAGATCACATTTAGACCGAAACCCATCTACAGTTTCTGGACATTCCTGCTCTTCAACTCTTGCAAAATTTTAGTCAGTTTTCTATTTAACACAACTTTAATTTCTCTAAGTAGGAGACAAAGCTTAACTATCTTTGCATTAGCCAGAGATATTTACTACAGATGTAATGTTATGGACCCAGTACAGGACACCCTGCACCTACAAACAAAGGTAAAGAAGACAAAGGAGCCCTGGCCGGTTTGGCTCAGCGGTTGGAGCATCGGCCTGCAGACCAGAGTCTGGGGTTTGGTTCCCGCTAAGGGCATGTACCAAAAAAAAAAAAAAAAGACAAACGTTACCCAGCTAGTGTAGCTCAGTGGTTGAGCATCAACCCATGCACCAAGAAGTCATCAGTTCGATTCCTGGTCAGGGCACATGCCCAGGTTGTGGGCCAAATCCCCAGTGGGGGGCATACAGGAGGCAGCCAATCGATGTTCTCTCTCACTGATGTTTCTCTCCCCCTCTCCCTTCCTCACTCTTTAAAAATCAATAAAGAAAAAAATTAAAAAAAAAAAAGACAAAGATATTAGAGAGAGACTATTATAGACAACCAACACAGAAGGAGGTCCCTAAGATAAAATACATAAATGTGCCCGAAGATACTGATAGTAAACTCTCTTCTTTTGGTTAATCCTCACCAAGGATATTTTTACATTGAGTTTTAGATAGAGTGGAAGGGAGGGAGAGAGAGAGAGAAATATCAATGTGAGAGAGACACATCAATTGGTTGCCTCCCACATGACCCTGACCAGGGGCCCAGTCAACCCAGTTACATGCTCTTGACAGGGCATTGAAACCCAGACCCCTTGGTCCATGGGCTGACACTGTAACTGCTGAGGCAAACCGGCCCAGGGCCACTGATTGTAAACTCTTAAAACTTCCTATTTTCCTGATGCTTCAGCATCCACACAAACAAGATGTGAATGTCAGGTGACTATCACCACCACTGTGATAAGGCTGGCCCCTGCCATAAGTTCCCCATCCTAACTTGCAGTGATTGCCCGTGTTTGCATCTGGCTTTCCTCCTCTAGGACCTGTGAGTATAATAAAGTTTTAAATGTCATATGCCTTTACAAAAGTCATTTCTGTTCAAGCTTTAAAAACCCTAAAGCATCCCTGGCCCGTTTTGCTCGGTGGTTAGAGCAGCATTCTGCGGACCAATGACTCACGGTTTCAATTCCAGCCAGGGCACGTATCTCAGTTGTGGTTCGTCCCCCACCCTGGTTGGGGTCATGCAGAAGGCAACCAGTCAATGTGGATGTGTCTCTCTCACATTGATGTTTCTCTCTCTCTCCTTTCCACTTTATCTGAAGATAAATGGAAAAATATCCTCAGGTGAGGATAAAAAACAAAAAACCCCTAAAAAGCAGTACTTACTCTCCATTTATAACACTTCTGGTGACAATGGGATGATTCTGAACTCTGGCAAAGTCCCTGGGAAATGCCTTTGTGTACTTATGGTGACTGATCAACTCCACCATCTGGAAAGGGTCTGTCTTATCCAAGTTCCCTGCGCTGCCCTGAGTTCTGTGTTGCACCCTCCTTCCAAGGGCCGCCAAAATTTCCACCATAAAGTTCAGATCCTGTCCAAATCTAATAACACAACTGGGTTGCCACTGCCCTGCAGTGATTTACAAGAGGGAAAATCATCCTTTTTATATCCTCTGGTCTGCCCCTGGGCAGGTGAACCCATACTTCTCTGCAAGCCTTTGGTAATCACATTTTTTAAAAGATGTGTTTTTATTGATATTTTAGAGAGGGAGGGAGAGATAGAAACATTAATATGAGAAGAAACAGAACTGCTGCTTCCTGCACACCCCCTACTGGGGATCAAGCCTACGACTTGGGCACGTGCCGTCAGGGAATCAAACCAGGACCTCTCAGTCCATGGATGACACTCAGTATACTGAGCCACACCAGCCAAGATGATGCTCAATCCACTGAGCCACACCAGGCAGTGACTGAACTTTTGGAAACGATTCCTGAAAATAGACTAGTTTCCCACCATGTTGTTGCCTGCCTGGTGCCCACAGTGCATGCTGGCTGGAGCACTGTGCATCCTGGAATAGCATTAGGGAGAATAACTTGCCCACAAATGCTGTTCTTCCTTCACACTGGCAGAGTCCTATTCTGCGTTCAAACTACCCACACAGTGAACAGAGTTTCCAAGATTAAAGGTATTTAAACTAAAAGACCTGTATTATTACACAAACTAGAGCAATGTGTGACAGGCAGTTTTTGGTTTGGTGACTTGGAAGCTGTAAAACTTGACTGTAAGTACTAATTGAGACCCAATATGTCCCTGAAAGAGCTAGTAATCCTCGTCAAGCCGCCAGAACTCAGTTTCTCTGGGCCAACACAGGGTCAGGTCTGTGACCTAATTTGTCAGAGAGAAGGTCTCAAGACACTCATGATTTCCTCCAACTAATGGGAGAGAACAGAGGTCAGTTCTGTCTCCAACCCTGTGTGGACCTGCCAGTTGGTAGAGGGGAAATGGCTTCTGCCAAAGATACTGTGAGTGACAAAAATCTGGCAAGGACCCTGGGAAGTTAAACATGCTTACCACATAATTTATGGATAATCTCTAGTTTTTGGATATCCAGATATAGGTGTCAATTCAGGCAGAAGGCTCCTCACAGAGGCTTTCCTCTCACAGTTACACTAAGTAAGGAAAGAGTACATTCCTGGCGGATCTAAGGTCTTTTTTCAGTGTTAACTCTTGGTGTTGAATGACGACAGATTTGCAGCTAAACAATTTCCTACGTTCACTGCATGTGAGCTCAGGTCCTCTACTGAAGGAGGCCAGAGCTCTGGCTAAACAATCTCGCCCTCACTGCACTCATGAGTCTTAGCTCCAGTGTGAACTGTCCAGTGTTGAATGAGGTAAGTTTTGCAGCTAAATTTCCCATATTCACTATTTTCATGAGGTTTTTCTCCAGTGTGAACTCTTTGGTGTTGAATGAGGACAGATTTCTGGATAAAGGATTTCCCACAATCACTGCACTCATAAGGCCTGTCTCCAGTGCGAAATCTTTGGTGTTAAATGAGGACATATTTTTTGATAAAACACTTCCCACAGTGCATTCATAAGGCCTTTCTAGTGTGCACTCTCTTGTGTCGAAGGAGGCCAGAATTTTGGCCGAACGACTTCCCACATTCATTACACTTATAAGGCCTTTCATTAGTGTGAACTCTCTGGTGTTTAACAAGGATGGATTTCTGGATAAAGGATTTCTTACATTCACTGCACTCATAAGGCCTTTCTCCAGTGTGAACTCTTTGGTGTTGAATGAAGACAGATTTTTTGATAAAACACTTTCCACACTCAGTGCATTCATAAGACCTCTCTCTAGTGTGCACTCTCTTGTGTCGAAGGAGGCCAGAACTTTGGCTGAACGACTTCCCACATTCATTGCACGTATAAGGCCTTTCATTAGTGTGAACTCTCTGGTGTTTAACAAGGATGGATTTCTGGATAAAGCATTTCTTACATTCACTGCACTCATAAGGCCTTTCTCCTGTGTGAATTCTTTGGTGTTGAAGGAGATCAGATTTCTGGCTAAAAGATCTGCCACATTCAGTGCACTTAAAGGGCTTTGCTCCAGTGTGAACTCTCCAGTGTCGACTAAGGTGGGTTTTGCGGTTAAAGAATCTTCCACATTCATCACACCTGTACAGCTTTTCTCCAGGGCGAGTTTGCTGGTGCTGAACAAGCCTGCAATTAAAGCTGAGGCCTCCCCCCGATGTGCTACACTCATCATGACCTTCTCCAGTGCAAACTCTCTGGTGGGGAAATGGGGGTGTATTACTGAAACCTCTCCTACTTTCAATCCACTTGTGACTTTTTCCACTGTTAAAGGGCTCCCCACACTCAGTGCTGCTCTGGGGCTTCTCACTATTGGGAGTGGCCTCATGTTGGAGAAGGCCTGAGGTAGCTTGAAAGTCCCCACGGGTCACTGGCTTCCCTGACACATGGAATCTATAGCTCCTCACAGATGAGGCCCTGTCCATGCTAATTGTGAAGATTTTTCCTCCACGCTTTTGGTGCTGGTGAAGGTTTTCACTGAACCAGAAGTCTTTGGTTTCCCTACCGAAGTATGGCTTCTGCTGAGAATATATTGCTTGGCGCTCAGTCTGGTGCAAAATGTCTTTCAAACCTGAGACACACTTCTCACAGAGGTGAGTCTTCTGGGTTGATGGATTTGCCTTAGAAATCCTGAGCTGTGACTCTCCTTGCACAGGAACACTCTTCTTAGAAGGGGCCTCCTTGCCCTTTGCTCTATACCAACAGTCTGAAAGAAGAGAAATACTGAGAAAGTTCACGTTAGCTTTGGTGGGAGGAGGAAGTCCCATCAAAAGTGTCTGTCATACATATACATTCAAACCAAAGAATGGATCCATGGGCTATTTTTCAGGACAAGGCAGCAATTTGAAGGTAGGGCTGGGACTCTCAAGATCATAGCATGGGGGAGACCTTCTGGGACAAAGGGCAGAAGTATGGGGTCCAACAACAGGGAGGAGAGCCAGAATCAAAGACTCACTTCTGTGCCAACAACCTTCTGCCAGGACCCTGTCAGCTGGGAACATCCATGCCATGCATAAGGATGGCTGTGCGCAGGCCCAGGAAAATACAGGACTATTTAAAGACATGCACACACCTCACAAACATTATGTGTGGGTCACTGTAGGAGAACTTCAGACTGTGCAATGGAAAGGAAAAGTGAAACACATGGAGGTAGAGAGATGGGGACAGCCAGAGAATAAAAGTCACAGATGAAATGACAAATCAGAAAAGTGTCAAGTATAAAGAAAAAAGTGAAGAAATTATTTGTGCTCAGTGACGCTTGTACCAAAACACTGGTGTAAAAGTGTTTTGTGAACCAGGCAGGTACTTGGTATCTGAACACAGATCTAAGACCATCTTGCCACATTCACCCTGAGACTCGAGCAGGGCTCTCTCCACACTCTCAGTTGTGTAAGGACCTGATGAAGCTAGTTCTTAGGGAAAGACAGGACATGTGAGTGGTCAAAACAGGTCCAGAGCAACTCAGGAAACACACTACAGGAAAAAAGGTAATATTACAATAAAATCTCAAAGGAGCGGCTTCCAAGAAAAGTCTATTGACTCTAATTAGTAACTGCAACAATGCATGTAATTCCTGATACAGGTGGTCACAAGAAAATGTTAGCTAGAGGAAGAGGGCAAAACCTGGGGCACAAGGGGGTACCATGGACTTGGACACAGTCATCCTGCCAGGGACAGGTAAAGAAAGATGCGATCCATTAGGCCGACTGCCAGATGCCTGACTCCCAGACCATTCCCTGCACTCATTGGGGTAAAAGAAGTTAGGGCTGTTTGAGGAATGCATTGCTTGGGGTAGTGTACACAGCTTAGTGCTGGTACCCAAAGTGTATACACCAAGGAAGTAGAGAAGCCAGTACAGCCCATGGACTGGTTATGGAAAGGACAGAGCTTCCTTTAGGACAGGGGACAAGAGAAACCAGACAAGGACACTGGGAGAAAGATGAAGACCTTACCCAGGGATGTTGTAAGTGCAAAATTCTGCAGCATCACATCATGGTATAGGGACCTCTGTGCCTCATCAAGGAGCCCCCACTCCTCCAGGGAGAAATAAATGGCCACATCTTCAAAGGTCACATAGCCCTGCCATAATACAGACAGTTCATTCCATGATCAGCTTCTCTCCTAGGACCTCAAGTTCATCCACCCACTCACTCAACCCCTGCTTACCCACCTCCAATTCCCCCACCTCAGAGGAGATATCAGGCCCTGGTGGCACTGATGTGCACTCTATCCTCATGATCCCTTTGATCACTGTGTCCATCCATGACAACAGGGAGGTGAGGAGATAGATATCTGAGCTCTGGATCTGCAAGCAGGGACGCACTCACCTTTGTCAGACAATTGTCCTAGGATCCCCAGGTCATGCCACAGACACAACCAAGGGTGTTGGCTCACATTTCACCCTTTGTCCTCAATGCTGGGGTCCTTGGGCCATGAGTTCTCACTCCTTTGTCACATGGACATCATTTTCTTTTCTTTTCTTTTCTTGTTGACAGTTATTAGCTGTCTCTCATTTTCTCCCTTTTTGCCCACCTCCACCCAATCTATGGACATCATTTCCTTTTCTTTTTTTTATTCCTCACCCAGATGATATTTTTCTATTTATCATTAGATAGAGTGGGAGGAAGGAAGAGAGAGAAAGACAGAGAGAAACATCTATGTGATTGAGACACATCGAGTGGTTGCTTCCTGCATGATCCAACCAGGGCCAGGGACGAACCACAACTGAGGTACGAGCCCTTGACCAGAACTGAACCCAAGACTCATTGGTCCACGGGCTGATGCTCTAACCTCTGAGCCAAACAGGCCAGGGCAGACATCATTTTCTACCCATACTTCTCTCACAGTCACCACCTCTTCCCTGTCCTTCTACATATTATTCAACACATGGCATACAGAGAGTGATAACGCAAATTCAAACAGGATTTAGGCCCTGGCCGGTTTGGCTCAGCAGTTAGTGTTGGCCTGTGGACCAGAGTTGCGAGTTCGATTCTGATCAAGGGCATGTGCCTCAGTTTCGGTTTGGTCTCTGGCCCTGGACAGGGTAGTGCGGGGAGCACCCAATTAATGTGTCTCTCTCACATCAATGTCTGTCTGTCTGTCTCTCCCCCACTCCCTCCCTTCCTCCCACTCTGTCTGCAAATAGGTGAAAAAATATGCTCAGGTGAGAATTTAAAACAAAACAACAACAAAAAACTCAGGATTTAGTTGTACCACAGACCTCCAATGGTCCCCACTGCCATTAGCAGTCCACAATTCTGTTCTACAGGTCTCTCTGTCTGACTCTGCTCCTTGCTTTAGCCTCAGTCACCCAGAATCACTGTGGCTATCATACGCCCTTGACCTTCCTCCATTGGTGCTGTAATTCATGTCTCCTCACCAGTCACAGCCTGCCTCTCTCTCCCTAAACCTCATTCAAAACCCTCTCAGAGCCCTGGCTGGTTTGATTCATTGGTTAGAGTGCTAGCCCACGAACTGAGGGGTCATGGGTTTGATTCCAGTCAAGGGCACATACCTGGGTTGCAAGTTCGACCCCAGCCTCGATTGGGGTTGTGCGGGAGGCAACCAATCAATGTGTCTCTCTCACTTCAATGTTTCTCTCTCTCCCCCTCCTTCCTTCCCTTCCACTCTATCTTAAAAAAAAAAAAAAAATCAATGAAAAAATATTCTCAGGTGAGGATTAACAACAAAAACCCTCTCAGGAGACTTTCTACCCCAGATCCAGTTACTCTCCCTCATGACCACTTGTGCCCTAAACTAATCCACCCACTTGACTGACAATCCCCAGATATACCAATGTGGTGACAAAATCCTGGTGCGTCCACAGAGCAGTGAACCAGTCACCTTGATCACCTGCTTGATCATCCTTTCCCAGACTGCTCTCATAGCCACTTCTCTCCTTCACCCGTTTACATGAGACCCAGTCTTCAAACTACCCCCTCCTCTTCCTGGGATGCTGTTAATGTCATCATTACCAGGATTACCCTACTAACTTTGACCCACAGTGTTATAGACGGAATATATACGCCCTCCCAGAATTCGTGCTAAGACCTAACCCCCAGTATGATAATATTTAAAGGTGGAGACTTGGGGAATTAAACAGTTTTAGGTTAGATCATGAGGGTAAGGCCCACACAATGGGGGAATTAACAAGATTTAGAAGAAAAAGGTAAAGCTCTCATGCTCTCTCCGGTGTTTGCACCAAGCAAAGACCACAGTTCCTCACCAGGAACAGAATCTGCCAGCTGTTTGATCTTGGACTTCCCAGCCTCCAGAATTGTGAGAAATAAAGGTACTTTGTTTTAGCTGCCCAAGTTAAGATGCACAGTTTCATCATGGTCCACATACTATCCACCACCTTTTCCAGATGTCTCCACTCTGAAATCCTCCTAACAGTCCCAGACCTGGGTGTACACCTGCTCACTTAATACCTCTACTCATACATTTATAACCAAAACTCCTAAGTAATTAAATGAAAATTAATCCTACTACCAGCTTCCACAGCCCAGTTGGTAGAATTTCCAACATTTCAGCTTCTAACCCAAAAAACCTTGCTACCATCCCTGACTTCTATTTTTTTCTCTCAACCCTTCAAAATCAGAAAATCAGAGCAGATAAATGTATCAAAAAAACTGATGCAGAATCAAAGCATTATTATCACTTCCAAGGCCACCACACTGGTCCACATCACCAACACTAACCTGGACTATTGCAGTAGCCTCATTCCTGGTCTTCCTACCACCTTCTTCACACCCCCAATCTGTTCTCCATGCTGCAGCCACAGGGAACCTGATGAGGGCTTGGTCAGATCACCTTCCTCCTCTGCTCCAAACCTCCTATTGATCCCATCACCTCCAGAACAGACATACAACTTCATCCAAGTCATGACTCCTGACCTCTTGCTCTCTGTTCCCATTATAAAGAAATTAAACTGGGCCCTGGCCGATTTGGCTCAGCGGTTAGAGCGTTGGCCTGCGGTACAGAGAGACCCGGGTTCGGTTCCCGCTAAGGGCATGTACCTCGGTTGCAGTTTGTCCCCGGCCCTGGTTGGTCATGTGGGTGGCAGCCACTCGATGTGTCCCTTCACATCGATGTTTCTCTCTCTCTCTCTTCCTTTCTCTCCCTCCCGCTCTATCTGAACAAAAAAAAATGGAAAAATGTCCTCGGGTGAGGATTAAAAAAAAGAGAAATTAAACTCCCTTGAGCCAGTTAGGCCACACCTCCAAGAGTCTAAATAGAGTAGCACCTATACTTGGGGCAACTGCCTCCATATCTCATCTGATTGGTTGCTAGCAATAGGAATCACTCCATATAATCCCCAGCCTGGTCTGAGGACCCTGGGCTTAGGCTTGGTTCACCATCTCCAGACACAAAGACTGGAAGAGAGAGAGGCAGACTCCCAGGATACCACAATCCCAGGGATCAC